CTGTTTGTGCAGAATGCTGTTTTGATGTTGTGTTTATGGAGGATCTTACTGATTCTGTCTGTGGTGCCTTTTATGTATGGGAGGAGGGCTTTGCCGTTTTCTTGTTCTTTGTCTTGGATTTTAGTGGGGGTTTCTTTTTGGATTAGGTTTGTAATCTTATTTCTATGGAATCCATTGGATGTTAGTACATTGGTGAGAGTGTGTAGTTCGGTTTTTAGGTGTTGTTCGTCAGCTAAGCGTTTTGTTCTGGAGATGAGTGTCTTGGCTACAGAGTTGATCTGTGCTGGGTGGTGGTGTGAGAGAGCGTGCAGATAGCGGTTTGTGTGTGTTTTCTTCTGGTAGATGGTGTGTCCTAGGGAGCCATTGGATTTCTTGTAGACTAAGACATCCAGGAAGGGAAGTTGGTTGTTAGCTTCTGTTTCCATGGTGAACTGTATTTTGGGGTGTAGGCTGTTGAGGTGTGTGAGGAAGTTGTCCAGTTTTTCTTTCCATGTGGCCAGATTATGAAGGTGTCATCTACGTATCTGAGCCAGAGTTTGGGTTTGTGATCCGATTTTTCTAGAGCTTGGGTTTCAAAGTGTTCCATGTAGAGGTTGGCAATGACAGGTGAGAGGGGTGATCCCATGGGTGCTCCTTCTGTTTGTTTGTATTTTTGTCCATTATAGATGAAGTATGTGTTGGATAGGCAGTGGTTGGTCAGATCTAAGATGTGTTTGGGGGGGTTATATTTGTTTTGAATAGCTGTCAAGGCTTCTTTGATAGGCACTTGGGTGAAGAGGGATATGACATCGAAGCTCACTAGTAGGTCGCTGGGCTGTAAGTTTTGTTTCTTTATGATCTCTATAAACTGGAATGAGTTTTTTAGAGGTGATGGATTCTGCATAGGGCTGTAGTTGTTTGGCGAGAAATTTGGCTAGGTTTTGTAGAGGTGAGCCTATGGAGCTGACTATAGGTCTGAGTGGGGTTCCTTCTTTGTGTATCTTGGGGAGACCATAGAGTTTGGGGCATCTGGATGATTTCTCTCTGGGAATGATTCTTTGCTGGATCTCTTCGCTAATGGGGCAGGCTTTTATTTTGGATCTGGTGGTTTTTTCCAGGTAGGTGGTGAGATCTGTATTTAGGGGTTTGTATGTGGAGTCTTGGAGTAGGTTGGTTAATTTGGTTTGGTAGTCAGATGTGTTCATAACCACCGTGGCGTTGCCCTTGTCTGCTGGTAGGATTATTATGCTGGTGTCTTCTTTCAGGTTACGTAGTGCTGTCTGTTCCTCTTTGGGTAAGTTGCTTTTGGGTGGCTTGCTGGTGCAGAGGATGTTGGTGATTTCGAGTCTGATTCTGTTGGCGTCGTCGGGGTTGATTTTAGTCAGGCTGGTTTCAACTCCACATATAATGGTTTCAGTGGGGATGTGTTTGGGAGCGACTGCAAAGTTGAATCCTTTGGAAAGGACATTGGTTTCGGCTTTGGTGAGGATCCTATCTGAGATGTTATGCACTGTTTGTTTCATGTGTGGCTGTGAGGGAGGAGGGGTTTGTTTCTGGCGTTCTTGTAGTCTTCGGAGTTTGTTGGTGTGTGTATCTGTCTTGAGGGTGGTCTGTGTTTCGGCTCTCCAGACGGCGAGTTGTTTGCATTTGTCCCAAAGTGCGGGGTGGATCTTGTTGCTGAGTTTGAGGTGGAGTGTGAGGAGATCTTTGTTAATTCGGTCTAAGAGGAATCTTTTTGTGTGACGTTCATTTCTGATTAGGGCCAATTCTGTTCTTTTCAGGATCCGTTTGGTGGCTGCAGAGTTGGAGTAGAATTTCAGTTGGAAACATGTGGAGATTAGATTTTGATCTCGGCAGTTGCGTAGGAATGCGAGGTCGCATAAAATGGAAGCTCTTTGGACTTCAAGTTTTTCATAGGTCCTGGTCAGATGGTGAATTTCCTCCCCGTAGAGGTTCGATATTTGTTTTCTGAGGTTTTCGCGGGTATTTGTATGTAGGTCTTTGGTTGTTCGGGTTTTCTCCCACGTAAAATTGGAAGTGTCTTGGCGACGTGTCGACGAAGTCCCATTCGTCATCTTCAGGCTGGTGCTTTCAGCTTCGTGCTTTGAGCAGCAATGTGTGGTCTTAGCTGTTTATTCCTTTTAACTGCCAGTGGGGGTATGAACTGATTGGGTGGGAGCTTGGCTGTGTTCTGATTGGGTGGAGGTGTGTTCTGAATGGTTAGGGGCTTGGCTGTGCTCTGATTGGCTGGGGGAGTGTTCTGTTTGGTTGTGCTCAGGTTAGTCTGAGTTGCAGAGGGGTTTAAGATTTTGGGCTGCCTTGCTATTTTCTGGCTTCGCGTTCGTGGTCGTGTCTCCTCTTCATGGAGGGTGTCAGTTTGCTTCATGTATGGATTGGAGGGGTTTAAAGTGGCTAATGATGCAGCTGTGGTCTGGCTTCTGGTTTGTGGTCGTGCCTCATCATCGGTGTGGCTTTGGGTTTGTTTTTTGCGTGGATGTGTGGTGGTGACATCCTGTGTGGTTTTTGTGAGTGTGGGTCTGGTATCATTTTTTGTGTTAGGGAGTCGTTTGTCAATAAGGGCGGGTTTCCAAATGGCTGGTAGGCGGGAGGTATCATCTCGCTTGTTCATGCTGTGTGGGCGTTTTTCTATCTCGATGGCTTCTCTGATTATTCTGTTATTAAAATGTTCACTTTTGGCAATGGTTCTGGTATTTTTAAAGTCAATTTCATGTCCTGTGGCTTTAAGGTGTTGGACCAGGGAAGATGTTGGTTCCTCTTTTTTGATTGAGTTCTTATGTTCTTCAATGCGTGCACTTATTCTTCTGTTGGTTTGTCCGATGTATGTGGTGGGACAAGTGGTGCATGGGATTTCGTATACTCCTTGATTTTCTAATTCAATTTTATCTTTGGGGTTTCTAAGGATGGTGGATATTTTTCTGTTTGTGCAGAATGCTGTTTTGATGTTGTGTTTATGGAGGATCTTACTGATTCTGTCTGTGGTGCCTTTTATGTATGGGAGGAGGGCTTTGCCATTTTCTTGTTCTTTGTCTTGGATTTTAGTGGGGGTTTCTTTTTGGATTAGGTTTGTAATCTTATTTCTATGGAATCCATTGGATGTTAGTACATTGGTGAGAGTGTGTAGTTCGGGTTTTAGGTGTTGTTCGTCAGCTAAGCGTTTTGTTCTGGAGATGAGTGTCTTGGCTACAGAGTTGATCTGTGCTGGGTGGTGGTGTGAGAGAGCGTGCAGATAGCGGTTTGTGTGTGTTTTCTTCTGGTAGATGGTGTGTCCTAGGGAGCCATTGGATTTCTTGTAGACTAAGACATCGAGGAAGGGAAGTTGGTTGTTAGCTTCTGTTTCCATGGTGAACTGTATTTTGGGGTGTAGGCTGTTGAGGTGTGTGAGCACAACCAAACAGAACACTCCCCCAGCCAATCAGAGCACAGCCAACCCCCCAGCCAATCAGAGCACAGCCAACCCCCCAGCCAATCAGAGCACAGCCAAGCCCCTAACCAATCAGAACACACCTCCACCCAATCAGAACACAGCCAAGCTCCCACCCAATCAGTTCATACCCCCACTGGCCGTTAAAAGGAAGAAACAGCTAATACCACACATTGCTGCTCGAAGCACGAAGCTGAAAACACCAGCCTGAAGATGACGAATGGGACTTCGTCGAAACGTCGCCAAGACACTTCCAATTTTACGCGGGAGAAAACCGAACAACCAAAGACCTACATACAAACACCCACGAAAACCTCAGAAAACAAATATATATATATATATATATATATATATATATATATATATATATATATATATATGTATGTATGTATGTATGTATGTATGATTTAAGAGAGATAGATCTCATCCAGTCTCATCCGCACTGCTTTATAGTTGCCTGGTGGTAAATGTGACTTCGGCTGTCTGCAGCCTAGTGACGAACCATATTTCTATAGCCAGTCTTTCATCCACTGGTTTGGAGGGCTGCCCCAGATTGAGCGGAAGGGCTACCACCCTCCCACGATCAAGCGGGGATCCCCTCCTTGCTGGTCACCCCTACAGGGCGACTTTTGACCCTTTCCAGGGTTCCCCAGCAATTTGAAACTGAAAGACAGAGCTCCTCTTCTAGACGTCCATGGTGGCCACGTCGGCAAACCAGAAATTCCTGAGCCAATTATATCTAAGCACCACTATAGCATAATACAGTATGGAGCACATATATCTAATTATGGTTTTGAAATATAAGAGAGAAGTAGGTTTGGTTGCCATTGTGTTGGCTTTCTCCAGTTGCTGTTACATATTCCAAGAATCTATTTAACAATTTTCATTAAGAAGACTGCATGCATACAAGTGCAGATTTATGAGGGGAAGTGAAAATATCAGAGTAAATCATTTAGCTGTGAAATTTTAAAAGTCTTGTTAATATTTCAGGATTTTTTTAAAAAAATAGATTGTATGTCTTGCTTTAAAGGATAAAAATTCTGACCAAGAAATATTTTATTATAAAATGAAGGTTAAAACATTGATTTTGGACTACTTTTTATAGTGAGCCAATTTGGAACAGTAGTTAAGGCACCAGGATAGAAACTCTGAATGTTGTCCTTCCTTCAGCATGGAGCCAGCTGGGTGAACTTGGGTAGTCACTTTCTTTCAGCCCTAGGAAGCTGGCAATAGCAAACCACTTCTGAAATCTTGCCAAAAAAAACTGCAGGGCCTTGTCCAGGCATTTGCCACATGAACATAGATTCAAAGGTACATACAAAAACTTTCTATAAGTTTGAAATTACCAATATGGATGTTGGAACGTTTTGGTGAGAACAGGTATTTCAGGTTCCTAGTAAACATTTTGGAATCAGAACAGTCAAGCTCAAAATGTTTTACATACCTTCTCTGTGGGTACAGATATAAATAAGGAGTAAGCCGATGCATGAAGGTAAGGTGCAGTGTGAATATATAAGGTGTTACAAACTAAAGTTGTAAGAAAATATGCTTATTATACTCCATTTTATTTCTGTTTTAGGGAGGTGGCTATGCAGCAAGATGGAAGAATTCACCTGACTGTAGTGTATTTTGGAAGTGAACAAATGAGCAAAGTCAAAGAAATCCTAGAAAACATATCCAAGTGAGTAAAACATTTGACTTAATATTATTTTTAATTTAGAAACCAAAAGAAAATGAAAAGATGGATTTCCTGATTTTACTCTTCTCATTAATGGTTAAAATTTTCAAAAAGAAGTGGCAAGTCTCACGATAATCTGGAAATCCTATTGTTGTTTGGCTGAAATCTTAGATAACTAGAAATGTAATTCTAATCATCTCTAAACAGAAAAGAATTACTGAGCAATACTGGAACTGTTATAAATAGAATTCTTTTCAAAATTGTTATTGACAAATCATCATCATTCATATAATGTGTCCTGCACTGACAAGAGTAAAATCTTAATTAGCTTAATTTAAAACATTATCTCTTTTTTCTTTGTCTTGGAAACTTCCAGCGATGGAACAACCACAAGGAGGCAAGCTGTTCTCTTGATTTCTTACTGTATTATTGAGCTTTCATTATATTGCAGATTATACAACAGGCTTTTGAATAAATTCTTAAGCCCATCTATCTTTTCCAGTAATAATGGAATGAGTCCACACTAAATCATTGTTAGATTAGATCTATTGCAATCAACAGGACCAAACAGTCTCTACAGATTTCACTTGATTACTTGAAGAAGTCTGGATCCAATTCCATATTTCTACAACCAGTTAATTTGCATCATATTTTCCTTTTAAAAATCAGCTGAATACTACTGAGGCATTTCAAGAGGAAACTTTGGCAAGTAACAGAGCTTGTTGCTTACTGTAAATTAAAATGTAGCATTAAAAACCAACTAATATATCATCATAAAGCATTATTTTTATTGTATTTATTTATTAAACCAATTTATATAGCATAAAATAGAGCTAAATGAAGGCCCAAGTCATTAGATGGAGGATTTTCTTTCCTGCATATAAGAGTCGCTCATGATAAATATATTAATCTCTGTTAATTAAAGTCTCTGTTTTTCTTACAATAAACAGTTATGTACAAATGGTAATTGGTGAAAGCCAGATAAAACTTAAATATAATTTTTCCTAACAGATCAGCTAATTTCAGAAATTACTCATTTATCCAGCTGGATGAAGCCTTTTCCAGGGGGAAAGGTCTGGACGTGGGTGCAAGATTTTGGAAAGGAAACAATGTTGTACTATTTTTCTGTGACGTGGATATATATTTCACAAAGGAATTCCTGAACACGTGTAGATTAAACACACAACCAGGTACAGTCAGCCATTCATGATATGATGGACAGAAATTCAGTTTGCACCATAAGCAGTTTGTTATTCTTTTTAACATTGAAGATACTTCACATGTATATTCCCTCAGAAGTCTGTCAGCTCCCTCTAGCAAAACTGTAAGTATAAACTGAAAGCTCAGCTAATTTCTCCAGTATACATTTCAGAAATTAGGAAATGTATATAGCCATCATCTGTAATGATCATGGAAAGTATTCTTCCCTATGAACATGAAAATCATTATAATAATGAGGGAGCTCTGAGTGATTCAGAGTGATCAGTCACTGAAACAGATAAAGAAAAATCTGAACCTGTTGATCCAGGTAAATGGGCAGAGACATCTTAAATCCATGAACACCAAATTTTGAGATACAATTTGGAAAAGTTCCCCTCTCAAGTGATTTTCGTTTTGTTAAATAAAAAAAAAAAAGACTCCATGTTTCCTTTTGTCTTTGGAACATTTCCCAGGAGTGTCTGAAAACCAAATTAGAAAATAAGTCCAAATCCAGAAAAAGATCCAGCAGGAGCTCCTTCATTACAGATAAAGAACAGAACAACAAATGTAGCAACATTGTCATTCCATACGTTTCAGAAATATCTGAAAAACTCAGGAGAATTTTTAGTCAGTATAATATACATGTACATTTTAAACCCAAGAATACACTAAGGCAGAGGCTTGTCCACCCCAAGGATAAAACACCCAGACACAAACTGAGCATGATGTGATATATGCAATACAATACAGTGATCTGTACATTGGTGAAACAAAACAACCACTTCACAAGTGCATGGCACAGCATAGGAGATCAAACCCATCAGGACAAGATTCAGCGGTCCATCTGCATTTGAAAAACAAAGGTCACTCTTTTGACATCAGCAAAATCCATATTTTGATAGAGCAGATGATTTGAAAGAGGAGTAAAAGAGGCCTTTTATGTTAACATTGAACAGCTCTCTCTCAAAGAGGGGGAGAGATAAGACACCACTTAGCTCCAGTCTACAATGCAGTTCTTGCAGCAGTTCCCAGAAGATTCCACAACCAATTGCACTCTGAGGGCACAGATAACCCTCCAAATGGCCTTAATGGCTCTCAGAGAAAGTGCTAATGACCAGATGACTGCAAAGAAATACAATCCTTCCATCTCCCTCCTCCCCAAGCATCTGATCAGAACCTATCTTCCCATCCCCCCAATGAAATTTCTTGGATGATGAAGTTTCTTGGATGAGAAAAAAAAAATGTTTTCTTCTTTCTCAAGGAAAAAACAATCCAGTTAGTTTTTGAAAAAGCACCTTTGAGAAAACCCCAATCCCATAAATCCATACTAGAAATACAGCAAGCTAAGACCTAATGAAACCTAAAAATGGATGAGAATTGTATTTTAAGAACTGTGGAGCGGTGTGTATATGGTAGATCTGCAAAAGCTAAAACCCTCTTTAATTTTAGAGGAAATATCTGATATTTAGAGCCATTTAGTGCAGAGCCATATGTTATAGAAACCAGAAAATCACAACTTCTAATCTTACCTTAGGCATGAAGTCAGCTGGATGATCTTGGCCAGTCACTCTCTCTCAGCCTTAAGGAGACCATGGCAAGGCATTTCTGAAATGTTACCAAGAAACCTGCAGGGACTTTGCTAGGCAGTTGCTAGGAGTCAACACTGACTCAAGATAAGATAAGATAACCTTTATTGTCACTTTTTTTACTGTGGGCACGGCACACATCAAAAATGAAATTTAGTTGCTCGCTCTCAAAAATGAAACACATACATGACACACACCTAAACATACTATGAACAACATATGTACAGACCCACATCCCTATATATACGTAGAAAATAAATATTAAATATTGTCCGTCTTGAATATATAACGGAAGGAGGAAGCTTGAGAGTTCACAAGGTTAATGCTGTATGGGATGAAACTATGGCTGAATCTGGATGTTCTGCTACAGTTACCACGAAGCCTCCTCCAGAAGGTAACAAGGAAAACAGGTCGTGAAGAGGATGTGAAGTGTCCCAGATAATCTTACGGACCCTGCTCAAACAGTATTTCTGTGCTATGTCCTGGATGGGAGGGAGGGAACTGCCAATAATCTTTTCGGCCATTCTCACCACTCTCTGTACCGCCTTCCTGTCTGAAGCAGTGATGCCTCCAAATCAGACCGTGATGCTGTATGATAGGATGCTCTCGAAGGCACACATACAGGTGTTAACATGTAAATCATACTTTCACTTTTCTCTTCTTACTTAAATATATTTAAAAATGAAGCAATAGTAACATTTAGATTGTTTTCTACAGAAACATATAATTTCTCTTACTATGTCTACACCTGCTCATGGCTCTGAAATTTACCTTGTTCAAAATGTTCAAGAGCAGATTTAGCAAAAAATAATAATAATATTTTTTCAACTCTTATTTCTAGGAAAGAAAGTATTTTATCCTGTTCTTTTCAGCCAGTACAACCCAAGTCTAATATATGGACAGCATAATTCCATTCCTCCCTTAAAACAACAGCTGGTAGGTAATTGGTTGTTCAACCAAATGCACAGACTAAAAATTCTTAAAACCTCAGTAGTATTTGTTGGAGCCTTTTTCTATTCTGAGTTAATAGCGTAACTGCAAATTTACTTAAGGAAAGAGACTTGAGGCTCAGACATACATGTACTAGGAAAATAGACCTTTTCAATACATAAGGCTGTTTTGAAGACTGTCTGGAGACTGTTCTCAGAGAATGGATTTGCTTAAAGAAGATGTTTACTGGAAGCTGATTGTCCAGATATAATACACCAATTCTATACAAGTTGAACCACCTGTATAGACCCACTAGTCTACTATTTAAGTTTCAGAGAAATAATGGAAAAAAACTTCTATTTTTATTTATTTATTTAAATGTACTGACTATCCAACTACAGTGGATTCTGGGTAGCATGTGAATGTAGAAAAAACATAAAATATTTTTAAAACTACCCATGCCCATATGAAATTGCCAGTACTTTAAGATCACTGCTAGCAAATACATTTATTAAGATAAATAATCTACATCAATAAGCATCAGAGACTGTTTTTTTCTTTTTTTTTCTTTTTCTAAATATGTTTTATTGATTTTAAACATAATCACCTTAATATTTTGGAAACAATGTGTTGTCTGGGTTTATATTTAAAAAACAGTCAATAACAATTTCTATAATTCTATAGTCCATATAATGGTTTTGCTTGATTTTCTCGTCTTCCAATAATATTCTCTTTTGCCAACCTTAAATTAGTTCTTATTATTTGAATAAATAACAATTAAATATAGACATTTTTCAATAATAACCATCTCAATATAAAGCTTCTTTTCTAATTGATCATCTTGATTGCCTCATCATAGATCCTGTTTACAAAATTCTTATTTAAATTTGTTTTCCCCACAATATTCAAAACATTCTTATTGGTTAAGATTTTCTCAAAATTAGTTACACTTAAGTATTTAAGTCTTTTTTTCTCATACAAGCCATCCCAATACTTTCACATTTCTCACATCTTAAAAAAAAGAAAAGAGAAAACATTTTTTTTATATAAAACATCCCAACATTTTTATATTTCTCACGTCAAAAAACAAAACACAATGGAAAAAAGAAAGAAAAAATACTGTTACTTGAGGGATTCATCCCTCTTAAATTAATCTTCATTTATATCCAGAATCTTTCTATTTCTTTAACCATATTCAAAAAGATGTTTAATTTTTAAATATTCCCTCTGGTAAATCCCATCATCTAGTTTCTTAATTCTCACTTTAGCCTCTTTTTTTGCCAAACATCTTTCCTGATCAATATGCTTTGTTGAATCAAAGAGTCTTCCCATAATCTTGTAAATGTTGTTGCAAGTACAAAAGGCAAAACAGGTAAGATGTTTTTATAGGAAGGTTTCGCCCCTTCGTATTCATTAAGAATCTTTTCTTTCTTTCTTTCTTAATTTCATTTGTCATTTTTTGTCTCTCAAATTCTCATAGTTCTCCTGGCAGAATCCATTTTGTCAAATCTTTTTTCTTGTCCTCAAACCTATTTTGTGATCTTAGAGTATAGGTTATATTTTCCATGTCCAATATTTTCTGTAAAAAAAAATTCCATCTGGGTTAAGTCATATTTCCTTCTATGGTTAAGTTCCATCTTGAAATCTCTCTCCTCTGTCTCGCATTCAGTTGTCTGTTTTTTCTGCTCACTCTCTATTTTTATTTTCTGAGAGTTTTTGTGTTGTAAAGTTAAATTGGAGATGTGTTCATTTATATTTTCAAAGTTATTTTTAATTTCCTCATGGTTTGAGATCATTGTTGTTTGAATTAGTTGCAACATAGCATAAATCTCCCTCTAGAAAGTATCTGTTTTTTCTTGGTATATTCTTTCTGCAGATCTCTGATTTTCCATGATAGCCAAAAATCAGGGTTTTCCTTTCTCTGCAGACAGCTTTAGAGTCAGAGTTGAGTCGGTATTTGTAATCCAGAAAAGTCATTTTTTTTTTTCTAAAGTTTATAATTCTCACTTTGTAGATAGCCCAAAATTTTTCTTTTTCTTTTTTTTCTTTTTTTGGTCACAGCTGTTCTCTGTTATTAAGACATTGAAGGTCACCAAAAACAAGTTATCTTTTGCTGGGCTTTGCCAGTTCCTGTAATAGAGCAACTACTGTTGTATATTTTCTTCCACCACTAGATGTCAGCACCAGTTCATTTTTCAGTAATAGACAATTGTTTGCCTCTATTTTCTTGGTTTAAAAGAAAAATCTTAACAGATTCCTCCGATTTCAAACTTATCCAAATTAAGTCTTATATCATTTCATTTCAGCATATTTCTGTGGGGCAAAGATCTCCATTCTTCTAACTTTCAGAGGCTTTTTGCTTCTTGGGTTTTTTCTTTTTTTCTTTTCCCAGGAAATCAATTTTCAAATACAAGAGAAAAAATCACTGTTCTTACCCAGTTCCAAACATGTTGCTTACATTCAGTTTAAAGTAGTGCTTTTGAGCTTTGGCTGCTTGTAGCTTGGGATAGACTCTGAAGTTAAGTTAGCCTTTCTCCTACTGGTTTCTGGCGGGCCTTCCCCAAACCAATCAGATCGACCACCATCTCTCCACAATCAGCAGGACTTCCTTTCTTATTTATTGCCTCTATAGGGCAACTTCAAGCCCATTTAGCAGGCAAAAATCGGCCATAGTGTGCGGAGCCCCGCGATCCCTTGGTTGCTGCACTACTGCACAAAACCAGAAGTCCAAGACTGGTTGTTTTCTAGCGATGGTACCCATTCTTGATTATGCAGAAGACTTCTCTTAATGACGCCATTTTAAAAAAGCCTTGGAAGCCATTAGTTACAAATAACTAATTAATATGTTTTATTAGTCATGCAACTGTTTTGTTGATTTTTAACAAAGTGCTTATTGTTGTATTTTAAAATAGCACTGAAATACATTTATATCTTTTATTTCCATATTTGTATAGTTTAGGTTTAACTCATTGTTTAAAAATTGAATACATTACTATTATTATTTTGAAACTGTAGAAAAGCAGGCTTTTTATTTTTCCCTTCATTCCTTTTTGGTTTTAATGATAATAGTTTTAAGGAGACAAAATCTAACAGATTTGCAGCTATTCATTTAGTATCTCTATTATTTATATCGGTTAAAATTAAATAATAAAAAGAACTTGTCACTTTGTTAGGCTAGATCTAGAGAGGAGCTTTATAAAGGCATAATTATATATATATATATATATATATATATATATATATATATATATATATATATATATATATATATATATATATCTCTTCCCTCCCTGATACAGCTGACAAAGTGAGAAAGAGCCTGTGGCTTAGAGGTTAATACAGCTGCCTAACATGCACACAGCCCAGGTTCGAATCTCAGAAGGGTATGTCTGGCTGAAGAGAGTTAAGAAGCTCAAAATAGCTATTCCAATTCTCCCTTTATTCTTTGTTAGCAACCTAAAAAACTGTATATGTAAATGATGTCACAGTTGGCGACTGCTGCCTGTGGATGGCTCTAGATTGAGCTGATACAGGCAAAAGAAAAAGAAAAAAAAAGATTTCTTTCTCCCATATTTGGGCCGACAAGGTGCATCAAAAAACACTCAAGGTAAATCTCCTCCCCCTGTCTCTTCCCTCCCTGATACAGCTGACAAAGTGAGAAAGAGCCTGTGGCTTAGAGGTTAATACAGCTGCCTAATATGCACACAGCCCAGGTTCGAATCTCAGAAGAGTATGTCTGGCTGAAGAGAGTTAAGAAGCTCGAAATAGCTATTCCAGTTCTCCCTGTATTCTTTGTTAGCAATCTAATATATATATATATAAATATATATATATATAGTTAGGATGCAAAAATTTCTGAGAGTTGAAGTCTGAGAATGATCAGTTGGATAACCTTGAGTTTAGCTCCAGTGAGTATTATTTCAGGTTGTTAAATGCAGCTCACTTCCTTAGACAGAATTTTCCCCCAAAGTAATATGGATATAATATCAAGGAGGTCTGCACTAATTGTCAGTGAATTTTTTAAGATTTTTTTTTTTAAATCACGTTCTGGGATATCCAAAGAAAAAGTGATCCTTTTATATTTCTCTAGTGGTGGCAATGTAGAAAAGGATGGCAGAAAACCACTGACTTTTATTCATTACAATGATGAAATCCCCTCATTATTTCTCCAGTAAGAGAGAAAAATACTCAAAAATAACAGCAAACCTGGTCTCTATATAAGGCAATTTTCACTTTTATAAATCCTTACTGGCAACACAAGGGGTGTAACAACTTAAAGGATGTGCCTTTCATTGATTAGGAGATCCATTACAGATTTGCATTGAGCAAAAATAAGGATTAAATCAAAAGGGATTATTTAATTGCAGTTAAACATATCTTGTTTCTTCCAGGTAATAAAAAAAGAGACAGGATTTTGGAGAGACTTTGGGTTTGGAATGACTTGTCAATTTCGTTCTGATTACATCAATATTGGTAAGACACTATGCTTGTTTAAGTTTGCCAAGCATCAGTGCCAGAATATTATGTCTTTTTTGTTTATTTTTGACACAAGACAATTTTTTGATATGGGGAAGGTGTACACAGCTACATAATTACTTTGAATTAATTCATCCTTTAATATTAGCATATTTGATATTTAAGCAAACCAATCTATCTTCACGATTTATAATCATTGATTAAATAAAACATACACATTGAAAGAAAGAAAAAAACTATGATATCTCAGATATAAACATTCTTGAAACAGGATTTCTGAGGGATATTCTCTCAAATCCATTTCCAGAACTCTCCCAATTTTTATTAATATAACTTGATCATGTCTTTAAAAATGTCCAAGAAACCTTTTTTATTTAACTAATATTTACTTTCCAAATTAATGACAATTTCATGGAGCTCCATATTCTGTTATTAATAAATTGGTAAAACTCTTAACTTGGAAATATTGAAAATAAGGTGGACTTTGTTTGCAAATTGATTCAGCAGTATTGTTTGTACATATCCTGTATTTTTTGCTATATTATTGCACTTTTCTGATTATAAATCTGGAAATAATTCATATCTTATTTTATTATATAATGACAAAGTTTACTCAGACTATAAAGTTCCGGTGGCCTCTTTTTTTTAACAGTACCTTATTCAGTTTTGCTATTGAGTTATGTATTGTTTCAAAGCAAACATTCAAATATGTAATGGAATATTATTTTTTCAGTATGGCAAAAAACAAGTCCACTTTGACTATTTGTTCTAAATAATATATTAACAATAATGTGAAATTCTTTTCTTGGTCTAAAATATGAGAGAATGTGAACTTCTGCTAAATGTATACACTTGAACTTAGAAACCAATAAAAGTACATTTCAAAACAAAATAATATCCTAATGCCCCTTTTAACCTTGAAAGAAATACAACGTGATGGTTTTGTTAATACAGGTAGTCTTCATTCACCAATGGCAATATGGACTTCTAACTCAGTTACTAAGTGGTGTAGTCATTAAGCAGGATGTCATGTGACTTCATTGGCTTAATGATATCAGTTTCAGCTGCTGTCATTAAGTGAATTACAGTGAATAATTAAGCATGATGTCATGTGACTGTGACTTGCAACTTCCTGCTGGCTTCCCCATTGACTTTGCTTGTCAAAAGCCAACTGCAAAAGTCACAAATGACAATCATTTGTGAACTGCAATCCCTGCAGCCATCATAAATGCAAGCCAATAGTCAAGCACTTGAATTGCAGTCAGGTGGCCTCATGTGCTGGTTACAACTTTGAGGACCGGTTTTAAATCTTGTTTATCAGTGTAATCATAACTTTGAACAGTTGTTGAATGAATGGTTGGAAAGCAAAAACTGTTTGTTCTTGGATAAGAAATTACTGAAATAATTGCAGCACGCAGAACAGGCATCCATTCCCAAATCATAATGGTGCCAAAGTGGTGAAAAATACATTGTGATAGCACAGCACAAGCTCTGCCCTTTCCCACTTTATTGTCACAAAACATGCAAGTAAGCAAGAGGTGAAACTTGTGTTGTGACATTGCAATGCATATTTCATCAATGCTTGCCTATTCATGAATGCCTGCAGACAGAATGACTGCTAAATCTGTAGTTCTTTTCCAATCAAGGCCTACTTCATCTTTCTGTATATTGTAAATGTTGCAATTCTTTCTTTTTTCATTAGGAGGGTTTGATCTTGACATTAAAGGATGGGGAGGAGAAGATGTACATCTGTACCGTAAATACCTTCATAGCAACCTCATGGTTATCAGGACACCAGTCCGGGGACTTGTCCACCTTTGGCATGAAAAGCATTGCTTAGATGAGCTGAACCCAGAACAATATAAAATGTGCATCCAGTCTAAAGCTATGAATGAAGCTTCTCATGACCAGCTAGGCCTGCTGGTCTTCCAACGGGAGATTGAAGCTCATCAACATAAACAAAAAGCAAATAATAGGAATATGTGAAGGTAAAAATGGGTCTTTCACAAAGCAAAATGTCAAACTTTTAAGAACAGCTTCTTAGGGAAATTCTTGGGCTTAGAGGGATCTTCATAATCTTTTAGGTTTGTGATAATATCATACAAAAAGGGTAGGACAGGCCTTCTTTCAGTTTCTCTTACTTTTTCATCTCCAGCCCTGTGGGTTCCCATTTGCCAGAAAAGATTTGGGACTGTAGAGAGAGATGAAGGGAGAAGGATAAACGCACTTTGCTCAAATGTAACATTTCCTCATTAAAGTAACATTATTTATTTTTGGCAGATACTTCATATTTGGTTTTCCTTCAGCTGATATATGAGTAGATTGTACAGAGTGTTGCATTTTAACTGTTGTCATGAATGTGAATGTCTGTGGAGACTAGCACCAAGAAAGCTGTTCAAAGTGAGACTGATGGTAATAGACTTTATCAGTTCTGGCTATGTGCTATATATATCTCTGCTATACCTCTGATATATTCCAGATATATCAAAGAGATCTGATCACATTATATACCCAATTCAGTGAGAAATTGGATGAGCCATATGGAGGGAACATAATAATTTTTTTTTCTGGCCTTGGACACTTATGTGATGAACTTGAAGCTGTTCAAAGAAAGTCAAGAACTCCTACATTGCAGAAGCCATATTCTGGAGAAGTTACTAAATTCCTTAAGAGTCAAATGAAATTAATATGCAATGTTAAACTTGAGAGAACAAAGTGCAATCAGTTTCTATTTTATATTAATGATTAAAAAAATGAATTGGTGGCAGGTAGAATGCTAAATGCCTAAAGTTTAAAATTGATTTATGTATGGAATGTAAAACTAAAGCATAATCCCCAAATTAAAAAATAAATAAAAATGTATTTGTGTAAACTGTGAATTAAGTCATAGTTATTTGCTCTTGGATTCTATAAAGTATTAATTTATTTGATCTCATTCAGGTTTTGTATAACTTTTGTATAACTTCGCTTCTATTTAAACGTAAAACCTTCCTGAAAATAGCACATTGTAATACAGAAGATAAGACACTTTACAAACAGATTTCACTTTATTGAACAGTTTACAACCCTGTATACCTCTCAGTTTCAGCTGACTGTTGTACTGAAAAGTAGTTGGAACATGAACTGCATATATCTAAGAGACATTCATAAGCACTGGAAACTGATAAAGCCATTTTAGCATAATTAATAAGAAATACATGAAAGCTCAGATGAAATGGCCATCGTTCATTTATTTGTAACTCTAAACTACTATTCCAGTCATTCCCTGACATCAGTCCTTCATCATGATTTTATATAATACTTCAAGTAGAACTATTGATTGTATGTTAAATGCAGGCTGTTTTGAGGCAAATGCAATACATTGAAGCACTTGGAAGATAGAGCCAATGGGTAGCAGATGAATGTTTAAGTCTTCATCTGGCCCCCTAATCTTTTCTGCAATCTTTTTTCCCAATTGTTTTTACTTTTTCTCCTAGATGGATTAGGATGCTGTAATTTCATTTATAGTCATATGAAAAATAAAGTATACCCTTTTTGAGTTCTATGGTTTTACATATCAGGACATAGTAAAAATCATCTGGGCCTTAGATGTTCTTAAAAGTAGGTAAATACAACCTCAGATGAATCACCACACATGACATATTACACCATGCTATCATTTATTTTACAAATAAAAAACCAAAATGGAGACACGTGTGAAAAACTAAATGGAGTACTATGGCTTGCACAATTTCTGTTCATTGTAGGTATCAGTTTTTAAATATATTTTCCAAGGCTTCGTGATTATTTTATCACATGCTGGTCTGCAACATATTTCTTGAGTGCTCGTTGATGGTTGTTCCTAAAAGACAGAAGCTATCCACCTCCTTGCTATCTTCATTGCCAGGTCAAAGACTGGTTCTCTATTGTCATTAGTCTTAATATTTAATAATATTCCATTCTTTCCGTCCTAACATCACTGAAACATGTGTGTATATATGCAGGGATGATATTCCAATATAATATCTGAGTTTTTAATACATTTGCCAATTCAGCTTGCATGTTTGAAGTTTGGAAAATATGCCTCAAAATGGAGCTTCAATATTTTCCAGATGTATTTAAATATTACAATCTGCTAATAGTGATAGCTAGAAAAATAAGAAATCTTGAGACATGTCCAAATTCTTTCTATAGAATACAAATAGCCTTTGACAATGTATTAATCCTTCTGCATCTATTATAACAAGTGAGTGCTTTCTTCTTGGTCTGAGATTATTTTCAAGTGAAGTACAATTATAATAGGCAATGACTGTGCTTGTTCTGTTACAAAAACATATTTATTTGTAACATTTTCAGAGAAAAGGGTAAAATGTTGGGGCATTTGTAATGTTTATTTTTTATGCAGTCACTCTTTCAGTATCCTTGTTTGAGCATGTGTTACTAAAGGCTCTTCTCTCTCTGCTAAGTATTTACTATGCTTGTCCATCATAAACCAGCTTCTTTACACTAGGAATCTATCTGTCCTGGTCAGCTTGGATGCAAAAAAAAAAAAGGGAGGAAAAGCACATTGTACCCATAGTTACAAATTTATATTCATCCACACCCAAAAAAATTGTATCTGATTCTCCCGTGCCCTCCAGCATGCAAAGACTCATTTTCTAAAGAACTAGGTCATAGATCTGACAGTGAAGAGTTTTGATCCATGCAATGTCTACTATAATTTTTAAAGGAACACACAACTCCCTATGAAACAACCATGTGACTATCCAACAATGTTGTTTTAGCAGAGAAAAGAGCAAGAAAAATGTGAACAGTTGGAAGCTCTGATGCACCTGTTGTTCTATGATGCACTACAACATGTTTATACTCATCACTCGTTCATGGTGATGAAAACCAACCTTTCAGGGGATTTGAAGTTATGAAGATACTTTAACTTCTGCATTCCTCAACTATTTTATTTATTTCATTTTTATTTATTTATTAAAGTTATATGCCTCCCATCTTGCAGTTCGAGGTGACTTGGAGTAGTTTACAATATAATAAAGCGTAGAGATATAAAAACAATTATAAATGTAAATACAATACAGTCCTTTCAAGAATGAACCAGAGATGTCAAATGTCAACTCTTTCGAATAGTTCCTTATAATTTCATTTAACAGCAACTCATGCAGTCAGGTTTCAGTTTGAATAAAGAAAGTTCATTACCACAATTGCCTGTAATGGCAATTGTACTGTTATTCTTTTGCTGCTTTCTTCAGGATTTTGAGTCTATTTTTTTTTGCTTGATTGAATTTATTTCTCTTTTATCAAACATACTTGAATCATAATTTTATAGTTAAGGAACTATTGTAATAACTAAAGCTGTTCCATGTCAGCAACTGTCCATTCCATAAACTTCCTCCATATGGTAAATGAATTTTCTAAATATCTGTAGGAGATGACCAGGCTGGGCCCAAGGGAGAAGTCAAACGCATCCTCAATCTTGAGCCCCTTCATGTCCACAAGAGATTTAAGTCCAGCCCACTTTGAATTTCATTCATATCCACCACCTATTTGCTTTGACCGTTAGTAGTTCAGATTCTTGTAGAGAGCATAAGCTTGCAATAAACCTTTATATTCATTTGAACTGCCTGGACTTCCTGATTTTCCCACACTCAAATATCACTCAAAAAGATTTAAATAATCCAGTAACTGTCCTTGTTGTCCACAGGGGTAATGAAGACATTCCTTCCCCAATGATGTAATGGGCTCATCCTAAAAAAGAAAGGCACCACAGAGAAGAAATCATTCTTCTAAAATCGTATCCCAAAAATCTGAATTTCAGTAAAATCAGTATTTAATTTTCGATTAACAACTGTTTAATTATTTATAATTGGCTTCAAAGCATTTTAGGTAGCAAGGCAAACTATATGAATACATTTGTTTAAAAGAAATTTAAGAAAATTGCAATTTTCTCAGCCCATTAAACTGGAACTTAGTTTTGAAATTGTGAAATAGTTTTAATGAATTACAAGAGTAAATTGTAAAATAATTTTAGTGAAGAGTAATTCCTAATTTTATCAAAACATCACAAACACTAACCAATACAAAGTCATAGAATCTTAGGGCTGGAATGGACCTTGGTGGTCTTCTAGCTCAATCCCCTGTTGAAGGCAGGATTCCTTAAACCATTTTGGATAAATGGTTGTCCTATATTTTTTTGAAAGACTTCAGTGATGGAGCACTCTCGACTCTGAGAGGCAAGCTATTCCACTGATATATATTTTCCATAGTTCACTTTTCCTCAGTTTAAAAATGACCTTAGATACTTTTCAAAACAATATTTCAAAACTGACCCTGTAGGTAATGCTGATCACTGCACCAGGAATTCATGGAGCTTATTGCAGTTAAGGGAAACTGGCATTTTCTCATAAGCTCAATCATTTGGCTATGGATTTATTGACAGTTGCTGATATGCTGCCATTTTTAGTTTTCCTAGAATGCTCTCATCTCATCTGATATTGTACAGTATTATGCAAGGGCATTGTATGAACAAATAAGTGATCAGAGGAAAGACTAAATAAGCATTTTGCCTTCTAACTTGGAGTTGGCCTGTAACTGTGTGATTGAAAGAGACATTGAAAGAGCAGTGAGAATAATTTCAAAACTGTCCTTTAAAGCAGTTATAGAATTCCATGGGGGTACTCTGCCTTTGTACTGTATACATTCTACAGAAAGAATATTTCATGCATCAGAAACCTCTAATTTTGGTATAGAATGGGCTGAAAAATAAGAGAGACCCACCTTATGATATTCAACTAGGTCAGCTAATGTTGAATGTTGAAGTTGGTCAACACCAAGGAAACTATATGAATCTCCAGAAGCATCTATCAGAAAATGTTTGCAGCCCTCTGCTGATAAATAGGAGAGAACATAGCCTTTGATTTTTTCACTGACTCGGATGAGAAAGCTTCCAGGTGCCAAACCTTCTAAAAGCTCTTCTGCTTTTTTGGTGGTTAAAATACCTGTTCTCAAAACAAAAGCAATATAAGTAAGGAAGTACCTCATGTGTTACATGAGAAACATGTTCTAAAAAACTTTCTGTCTTTGCTTTTATATATGATTGTTTGTCCAGAGTTTTCATTCACTTAAACACTTTCCCAGTTAATACTACATAGTCTTAATGATATAAGGCAGTTTGGGTTTTTTTTTTAATGTTTTCTGCAGAGCCCTACAGTTTCCTGACTTTAAAAACAACCACCACCACTTCTCTTGAATGCAGGAGCACCCATAGCACTTTTCAGAAAGGGCGGGACTTGTCAGCTGATATTCAAAAGCCCCATCCACATAGCAGGTGTTTGTGCTTGTGAGGACTCATCACTGCATGGACCTGAGAAGCAGGCAGTATAGGTTCCAATCTTTACATTTCTTTTTAAGTTAACAGCTATAGTTAAAAACAGGTGGGAGGGGGAATTAAAATCCATGTAAATAATCATTATAAGAACCTTTCATTATAGCAGCACTAGACAGAAAACATGTTCCTCTCAACCTCACTGTACTGAAGATGTAGGTCTGATTTTCTTATATAGTTTCTCCTTTTCCAAGGCTCATGGTTGATCCTGATCTAGGAATTCTTAGATTATTTATTGTAAAATTATCATCAATATAGGTAGTTCTTGACCTACAACTGTAACTGTAATTGCGACTGGAAGTTTGGTCATAAATTGCTATGATTGTAACTCAAGGCACTCACATGACTGAAAGTAATTTTCCAGTCTTAATTTTTCATATTAAATGAACATGATAGTCATTAGGCAAACTCACTCATTTGAAATCAGCAAAATTAGTGCAAATTGTGGTCATTTGACTACAAAATTCCACAACCAGCCATAAAGCATCTGTTCCATGACCATTGTAACTT